TAATGCGTTAGACTGTAAGATCAGTTTGAATTGCAAGGTCAGAGGTTCACGTTCACCAGCTGCTCATTGGAAACCCTATACAGGGTCACTATGAGTCAGAACCAACTCAACAGCACTAACCACCACCACAACAACACTTTCAGCAAGCTAGATTGTATTATGTGCATATTGCAGGTTTTTAATGACTCTTCTACCAATCATGATGTCACATTTTTTTTTCATATAATTCAGCTTCTCAGATTATATGATCAGCATACAGACTAAATAGGTATAGTGAAAGAATATAATTCTGGCACACACTTTTCCTAATTTTAAACTATTAAGTGTTCCTTGTTCTGTTCTAACAACTGCCTTTGGTTTATTTTCAGTTCCTCATGAGCACAAAGAAGTGTTCTAGGATACTCATTCTCCACAATGTTTTCCGTAGCTTGTCATGATCCACACAATCAAAAGACTTTGAATAGTCAATAAGGCACAAGTAAACATCTTTCTGGTATTCTGTGCTTTCAGCCAAGATCCATCTGACACCAGCAATGATATCCCTTGTTCCACATCCTCTACGGAAAATCTGGCTTGAAAACTTAGCAGTTTTCTGTCAATATGCTGTTGCAGACATTGAAAACTTACCTTTAGAAAAAATTTACTTACATGCGATATTAACGATATTATATGATGATTTCCATGTTCTGTTGGGTCACCTCTCTTTGAATGGGCACAAACATGGATCTCTTCCAATCAGTTGGCCAGGTAGCTGTCTTCCAAACGTCTTCCATTTCTTAGGAGATGAGTGAATGCCTCTAGTGCTGCATCGGTTTGTTGAATATTTCCATTTGTAATCCATCAATCAATTTCTCTTAGGCTTTTGTTTATTCCCCTCCCCAAAACCTTCGGTGCAGCTTGGACTTCTTTCTTCAGAATCATTGGGTGTCAGGAGACTCTGAAACTTGCTTTCCAGCGTGGTGGTGGTGGTGTGCTGTGGAGTCAGTTCTGACTCAGAGCGACCCTGTATAGGGTTTCCGAGGCTGTAAATCTTTATGGGAGCAGAAAGCCTTTTCTTTCTCCTGAGGAACAGCTGGTAGTTTCGAACTGCTGACCTTGAGGTTAGCAGCCCGACTGGTAACCACTACGCTACCAGAGCTCCTTTTCCAGAGTAGACATGCTAAAGCAAATGAGGAGGTAAAAGAGCTGAATAGAAAATTTCCAAGCTCAGCCCGAGAAAACAAAGTCAAATATTATCATGAAATTTGCAAAGACCTGGAGTTAGAGAACCAAAAGGAAAGTACACGTACAGTATTTCTCAAGCTGAGGGAACTTAAGAAAAAATTCAAACCTCTACTTTAAAAATTGAACGATTCAAAGGGTAAAGTATTGAACGATTCATAAAGCATCAAAAGAATGTGGAAGGAATACACAGAGTCACTGTGCCAAAAAGAAATGGTGGATGTTCAACCATTTCGAGTATACGATCAAGATCCAATGATATTTAATGAAGAAGTTCGTGTTCCTAAACATTTTTGCCCCATACCAGGGAACAACTTCCGGGTTTTGGTTTGTTGGCAAACAAGTCCGTGCTGGCGCAATGGATTCTGGGATACCAAGTCTCCATTCTTGTCCTGAGTTTGTGGAGGAAGGATATATCGCATTGCCTTCTGGGAAACAGAGTCTACAGACCACGACGTTTACAGAGAACCGGAGGTAACGCCGGACTTCAATTCCCACAACACCCCGCGCGCACCCAGGCTTCCTACCTGGGAATCGTGAGGCGGCCACCATCTTGCGTACGGAGGTGCGGGGCTTGTCGACTCGGTTGTCAGGTCTGGGCTTGTGGTCTCTTGGGCTTCTGCATAGGGACCTGTGTCTCCGCGTTCTCTTTCTTTCGTCGAACGCTTTCTAGAAGGTTTTGTTGGGAGGTAAAGGTCAATGCAAAGCTGTAGAATAAGGTGAGTAGACACCCCGTTTCAAGTGAGGCCCGGGTAGTCAATTGTGTTTAGTTTTCGGTTTCTTCCTCCTTCTTTTAGTGTCTCGTGTGCTCGCTGTCTTATTCCAAAAACCCACTGCCTTGGAGTCGATTCCTACACTGTGCCACTCTGTAGATACAGACAGAGTAGTACTGCCCCATAGGATTTCTAAGCTGTGATCTCTTCCGGAGCAGATCGCCAGGTGTTTCTCCCGCGGGCCCTCCGGATAGGTTTGAATGCCTGTCTTCTGTGATTACTCACTGCGCCACCAGGGCTCCAGCTGACTTGGTTGTTGTTGTTAAGTGCCGTCGAGTCAGTTCTGACTCATAACGATCCTGTATAGGGTTTCCAAGGAATGGCTGGTAGGTTTGAACTGCCAACTTTGTGGTTCAAACTGATTTCTCGGTCCAGTGCTTATCCTACAGTGCCGCACATTTGTTGTTAAGTGCCGCTGAGTCGGTTCCGACCCATAGCGATCCTGTCCAAGGTTTCCGAAGAGCACCTGGTGAGCTTGAACCACCGACCTTGCAGTTCAAACCAAGTTTGCAGTCTGGCACCTTAACCCATAGCACCACACCAGGACTCACAGCAACCCTGAATAGGGTTTCTAAGAGCGGCGGTTATCAGTCCTGTGCTTAACCTAGAGCCACACACTAGGACTCCAGCTGGCTTGGTCAGTCAGGGCTGGCTCATTGTCAATCTATACTCTCTGGGGAGTAAAAAGCTTCATGTTTCTCATGTGGAGCAGCTGGTGGGCTCAAACCGTGGGCACATATCCCACTGCGCTACCAGCCCTGAGTGACCCTTTGTCTTGGAGAGCGTCATCAGTTCTAGTCAAGGCCTGGAAGGTGGCTCACTCTGGCCCAGGTGTTCACGTTTCATGGGGCCTAGGCAGTGTCCTGAGTCCCAGGGGGCGTCGTAGGAGAAGCGCAGGACTGCTAACCACAGGTCAGCTGTTTAAACCCACCAGCCGCTCCTCCAAAACCCTATACAGGGTCGCTGTGTGTCAGAACTGACTCGTCGACACTTAACAATACAAGTAGGTTGTGTTTAGGCCTGATTGCTCCACAGCGCCCTCGCTTTTCCTGGGGACTTTGCCCTGGCGTTTTAGGTGAGCTGCTGCAGAAGTGAGGGCTCTGCTTCCTGGAGAGCGGCGTCTAGTTATCTTCTCTCTGCCTCCCTGCATCCTTTGCCTTTCTGCCCTTCCCCTAGTCTTTCCTGTTCTCCTGCTCGACAGGACTGAGTTGTTTGCTAGGTGCCCAACAGAACACTCCTGCCTGGTCGGGCGCCATCCTCACAACCATGGTTCTCTTGGAGCCCACTGTTGCAGCCACTGTGCCAACCCATCTCTTTGGGGGCCTTCCTCTTTTTCTCTGAGCCTCTCTTTGCCTAGCATGATGTCCTTCTTCAGGGACTGGCCCCTCCTGACAACATGTCCAAAACTCATGAAGTCTGGTCGCCCTGGATTATAAAGAGCACTTTGACTGCACTTCTTCCAACGCAGATCTGTTGGTTCTTTGGGCAGCCCATGGCACTTTAAATATTCTCCTCCAACACCATAACTCAAAAGCATCAATTCTTCTATGGTCTTCCATATTGACTGTCCATATGAGGTTATTGAAAATACCATGGCTTGGGTCAGGTACACTGAGGACTAAGGTCCTCAAGCTGACATCTTTGCTCTTGAACACTTTAAAGAGGTTTCGTGCAGCAGATATGCAGCACTCTGGGTTAATGTGTTAGACTGCAAAGTCGGTTGGAACTGCAGGGTCGGCAGTTCAAGCTCACTAGTCACTCCTTGAATACTCTATACAGGGTCGCTATGAGTTGGAACTAACTCAACAGCACTGACCAATGACAACGACAACGACAGTCCATATTGAGTAAAACGGGGATTTAGATTGTACTCTTAAGGATAGGAAGGACTTACAAGGGAAGCCAAAATGACCCTGAGGTAAATAGAGCATTAGATTTTTTTTTATTTTATTTAATCTATTGTGTCAATTTTAGGACATTGGATTTATACTCTTCTTTCTTTTAATTAAAGCCATACATCGATTTGGGAACCCCTTTTGCTCTGCTGTGGCACTGTAGGATATGAATTAGCCTGCGAGCTCGTCGGCTCAAACCCACCAGCCTCTCCACAGAAACTCTATAGAGGATTGCTATGAGTCAGAACAGATTCGAGGCATTTAACAACAACATATTCTAGTCACGGGAAAAAGTCCCATAAAGAGTAGTATTTGAATTAATATCATGTTTGTATTACAAAGAGCCCTAGTGGTGCAGTGTACAATCATATGGGCTGCTAATTGCAAGGTTAGTGGTTCAAGGCCACCAGCTGCTGCTCGGGAAAAGGTGTTCCCGTAAGGATGTACAGTCTTGGGGATTCAAAGGGTCAGCTGTACTCTGTCCTTTAGGGTGGCTGTGATTGCGTGTTGACCCCACATCAGTGCGTTAATGTTTGGTGGCTAAAGCGTTGTGTCTGGCTGAGCTTTGGGAGTGGGGACCGTGATTCCTGAAGACACATTGATCAAAACAGGAAGATGCACAGAGCACCTTCCCAGTGGCCCGTGTCTGCACCAGCGTAGGTATCAACTCAGGCGGCCGTCGTACTTCCTGAGACGCCATTGTAATCTGTATTGTCCAGCTACGTCTGAGACATTGCACATTTAGTGTTCAAAATGTTCTAAATCCAGAAATGGATCTTCTAGGTGAAAGGTGAGATAGATCTTTGTTTGTTTCAGTCCTTTACGTGGTGGTGGTGGACCATCAAGTTGATTCCGAGTCACTGTAGTGGCCCTGTACAATGTGGAGAAGCTGGTAGATTCGAACTGCTGATTTTTTGGTTAGCAGCCCCATGTGTAACTGTAATTCAATTTATGACAGTCTTTAAATAGTGATTATTGCTGTTGGGTTGGTAAGCACCGTCGAGTTGATTCTGACTCATAACGACCCTGTATGGGGTTTACTAGGAGGAGCTGGTGGGTTTGGACTGTCAACCTTGTGGTTTCAATCCCAGTGCTGACCCTACAACGCCCCATGAGGAGTCCAGTAAGTGATTATAATATGACAATATGATGCTAGTATTTTGGGAAGAGGTTAGCACTGACTGTCTTTATCAGCCCTTCAGTCTTTTTCTGCTTACATTTTAAAATCGTGTTGTTTGGTACCATCAAGTCTGTTTCCAGCTGTGTCACTGCTGGTGGCGGTTTGATGCCACTGAGTGGGTTCTGACCCACAGCGACCCTCTAAGACAGAACTGCCTGATGGCGCCAGCTGGGCTCCTGTGTGAAAGTTAGCTCTCCCCTCTGTGCTCTGTTTTCTCTGCAGATGCCTTATGGTGAAGTGGAAGCGGAAGCCTTGGGTCATGGAGAGAAACTGATGAGTGAGCCCTCCTACAAGCGACTGAAGCCCACCGAAGGGGCTTACGCTGTCTCCCACTGTGGTGTGGCCGACTTTCACAGACCCCAAGAGCAGCCTGGGCGCGGCTGGGCCCATGTGGCCGACGTGGACTTCAGAGGAAGTAGCCATCCTCCCGAGGACAGCCATAGAACAACAGATGAGCCGAAAGCTGTGTGTGGTGTGAAGCCTGGAAGCCAGCCATGTGCTCCGGAATGCACTGGTCCGCAGCTTCCTGCTGAGGCCCGCCAGCCAGCGACACCCACGGACGACGGCATCTACAGCACTAGTAAAGCCTTCATAGGCCCCATTTACCAGCCCCCCGAGAAGAAGAAAGGCCATGAGAGGAGGAATCCCGCAGATGCCAGCAGGGCTGTCAATGGCAAAGGAGGGCGAGAGGAGCCACCCATGCCCAAGCCCCAGAAATCAGAGATCGACAATGAATTATTCCAGTTTTACAAAGAAATTGAAGAGCTTGAGAAGGAGACAGATGAGTTGGAAAGCAGCAGCTGTCCGGTGCCCAGCCCCTGTCCAGCACCACTTACTCCTTATTACCAGGCCTACCCAAACAGTCTTTTCAGAGTGGATGAGGGACCCCTTAGTGACGCTCTGCAGGCCCAGGCTGGGTACCAGGAGGACTTGGGCAATGAGCCGGGCAGATATCCCTCTGGTGGACAGATTGTCCCTCCGTTCTGTGGTCTTCCATTTGCTCCCTTCAGACCTGAGTGGCGAGCAGTGCCTCCTTTTGTACCCCCACCTTGCCCTCCTCCTCCTCTGCTTCCTCCCCCCAACTTTAGCTATCACTTAAACATCCAGCGATTTCAGCCTCCACCAAAGCCACCACCACATTTGTTCCAGGTCCAAGAGAACTCTCAGCCACGAAACGAGTTTTATGGCAACACTTGTCCTGTTAACTGGGGCGCCCTGCCCACTGATCAAAGCAGTAAATACACTGACTGTCGTCCCTGTGGAAGCGATCTTGGTGTGCAAGATGGTCGTGTACATAACGGTTTCTGTGAAATCCGACAAGAGTGCTGGGGAGGCGGTTCCGGGAACCAGTGTCACGCGATTGGCGTGTTTATGAAGCAGCAGTCTCCGGAGGAAAAGCTGCAGAAGTTACAGAAGTTACTGATCCTTTTAAGAGGCCTGCCTGGTTCTGGAAAAACAACCTTGTCTCGGTAAGTAAGGGCGTGTGATTGTTGGATGGTTTCTTACTGAAAAGTCACCGATTCAATGGGTGACCGGGTGACCGATGATGGACGCACTCACGTGTCTCGTGGAACAAAACCCCTACATTTGCTAGACTTCAGATTGACATCTGACAACGTGGAGGTTCAGAAAGAGGTTTTCGTTTATTTTCCCTGAGTCTTTTATTCCGTACTAAATTCCATGCTATAAATCTTCTAAGGGGAAAAGAAAACATTGTGAAACATTAAAGGGTATTAATATCTATCCTGTGAGGGGGGGGAAATTAGGTGAGCATTTGCAGAGTCAATTAGACTCCCCTGTAACAATTTCATTACAAACCAGCCCTTGCCATTGGTCCCCATTGTTACAGTGTGTCAGTGTTGTCTTTTTCCATTTGGATCCCGCCCTCCCCTGCTTGCCTTTCCTCTTTGCTTTTTGGGAACTGTTGGCTGTTTGATCTCATACAGATAGGTAAAGGTTTAAGTAAGGGGGTGCATTACTCACAGGTCACACTGCTTGTGTGGTAATAGGGTCTCTTCTCTTTGGTTGGAAGGTGACCTGCAGAAATAGCTTCAGTGACAAGTTCAGAGGGTAGTTTCGGGATTCCTCTAAACTCTGCTGCTCAAGCAGATGGAGTCTTTTTTAGGATTTGAGTTTTGTTCTATTGTTTTCTCCTATTCTGCTTGGGACTCTTAAAAAATACATTTTCTGATACAGGGAAGAAGAATTGACATTCAGATTGAAATTTGCTAAAAAAACAAAAACCAATTTCCATCAAGTTATTTCCGATTCATAGTGACCCGATACAGGATTTCCAAGACTGTAAATCTTTGATAGCAGGCAGCCTGGTCTTTCTCCCTCAGAGAGGTTGATGGGTTTTGAACTGCCAACCTTGTGGTAAGCCTTCCAATGCTTCTACCTACCCCTCAGGTCTGTGGGCATTAAAAATAGATAATGAGGAGGCTTCAAAAAGATGGTTTGTTGTTAAATTCCGTCCAGTTGGTTCTGACTCATAGCAACTCTGTATAAGGTTTCTGAGGAGCGACTGGTGAATTTGAACTGCTGATCTTGTAGTTCAAACCACCCTTGCAGTCTAGCACGTTAACCCACAGCTCCACACCAGGATGGTGGAGAGGTAGAAGTTTTCCATGATCTTTTCATTCCGCTTTTCCATGAACTTCCAGGAGCCCCCTGGTCCAACCCCATGTGCTGAATTCTAAGTGGTGGGAGCACGTGCTGTGGTTCTGGGCTGGGGAGAACAGCTGTTCTTCAGCACACACAGTGTTGTCACTTTGAGACAATGAGATGAGTCGGGCTGGCCCTGGAGGCCCTGAGGGGGTCAAAGAGGAAATGCCTAGTTTCTGGCTTGATTAGCCGAGGAAACCCCTTTTCTTTGTACTTTTTAATTTAAGCTGTTTTTGAAGTGAGCTGCTCGTGTTTCCTTACAAAACAATGTCCAAGTTCCTGCCTTTGCATTTCACAACAGAATATGGGTGTGCTTGAATACGTGGCTGTTCTGTAATAAATGCAGCAAAGAAAGGTTATACAAACTCTGCTGCTGCTGCTGATGTGAGCTGGTTCCAGATTTAGGCCGGATAAGGAGAAAAAATATTTTTGATATCATTGGGTAAGGATTGAAGAAAAAAAGTCTGAGAAATCATTTGTAAATGTTTTATATTGACCTGCAGAACTACTGTGTTGCTGTTGAGTGCCATCGAGTCAGTTCCGACTCCTAGTGACCCTGTATAGGGTTTCTGAGGAGTGGCTGATGAGTCTGAACTGCTGACCTTGCAGTTCAAGCTGACCTTGTGGTTCAGAGCTTATCTTACAGTGCCCTGCCAGGACGCCAAAGATCCAGTGACGTCCCACTGAGATGTTGAAACTCCTTTATATTCTACTAAATCTCCAGATTCAAAACTATCTTTTTTTTTTT